AGCGCGCGAGACTGTGTATTGGAAATTCTAAAGTTATATTCATTTTAAAATTATTTCTCAAGATTGCTGTTGAATTGAATTTTACAATTAAAGTGCGAAGAACATGATATTTAATAAATAAATGCAGCACAAAAAACGTTAGAAAAATGCCCCTTTAAACATAATGTAAAATCTGAAAGCTTTCAGACTTTTTTATTAATTAATTTTATTATGAATTTTATTCATGTTTAAATAAAACTTTTGGTAATTTTTTTTTTATTAATTTGAATAAAGGAAACTTTGGCTTTGAAGCAATGAGAAGAAAGAATAACTTTTGTCATTTTTATTCAAAGATCATTCGCCCTTTTTATTGTGTTCTGGCATGATGGTAAAAAATAATGGTGATAAAATATTATTTGTTCATCGCAAGTAATTTCTTTCCCTAAAAAAGGGTCATCGACTCAAAAGAATTGTCTTACAGATACAACTGACCATTCCGAAAGGAGACAAAGTAAAATAAAATTTTGTACGGGGTGTCTCTTTCATTGAGAATAATATTCTTTTCTGAGTCATTTAATATAACGTTGAAAATTGAATTATCGTCAAGCTTTATACAGAAACTGATCAAAAGAAGCCATTATGAACGAAAAAAATTTTGGATTGATTTCCATTTCTTAGAAAAGAAAAGAAAAATCGAAGAATATGAAAGGTTTTCTTAAATTACGCTGAAAATGTCTGCGCGTATTTTTTTAAATAGTTCCATGATCTATAAAAACTTTATTCTAACGTCTCACATAGTTAATTCTGAAATAGTATGGAACAAATTAAATATCAAAAATCTAAGCACAGTTTGGGAATACATTATTTTCATTAAATTGTATATTCGCTTTCGATGCAAGCATATAAGCAAAAGTTAATATTGATTGTTCAAACTTATGTGTTCTATATCACTCGCATATAAACTTCGTAGAAAAGAAATATCAAATTAATTTCACGGTGATTTCAATGGCAGATTTATATTGATGATGTGCAACAATGTCCTAAAGATGATGGTAAAAAGGGTATAAGGAGATGATGTGCTGCTTTGAGCAAATTCTGTCACAGAATTCCAAGGAGAAAATTCATTTTAGAATTTGTAGAAAATAATATATTAGAAGCGTCAGAAGCGTCTTACTTAAGAAATGGAATAAAAGATCTCTTTTTAGTTTTTATGAAAGCAAACTACATTCTTAAGACACAATAAGACACGCCGAATAAATACTAATTCAGAAGTCAAACAACAAAAATCAGCGTTATATTTACAAAATTTTCACAATTCCTGTGAAAAGTTTGTAAATATAACGCTGATTTTTGTTGTTTGACTTCTGAATTAGTAAACTACATTCTTTTAGTTTTCCAGTTTCATTTTATTATTAAAACTGGCGGTATCTAAAACAAAATTATTTGAGAAACTTTTTCATCTTTGGATTCACTAAGATGCTCTTTTTAATTAAAGGAATGGATAATTAATAAACGTTTAATCAGCTATTAATTATAGCTGCCTTTTCCTCCTTTTCGTTTTGGAAGGTGAATTAGGCACTTCATTTTCGTTCTTTTATTCGATAGTTTGATAATGAATCTAATTTCAATGATATATCTTTGGGCGTTGTTGCTAACGTATCTAAATTTAGAAAGAAACCTATATGCAGCATATTTCCACTGTCTTTTCTCGAGTTTGGTGCTTATTCAGTTTAATTTTCTCGCATTCTTGTACCTCAGTTTTAAATTCAGAATTTCATGCATGAATTCCAGGAGAATTCAATGTTCTTTTTACAGTTATGATCTATTATACAAGAACAAATAAAAAATGTTAAACATTTCGTATTAACAAAAAAAAAATTTCGAGATTCAGGTATTCATAATTTATTCATCGCTTAAAATTATTTGTCTAATAACAATATATTTAAATTTTCCTCTGTTTATCCACAGTTACATACGTACACGATCTGCATATGTTACAAGAAGCCTTATCATATTGAACTAAAGATAATTTTCGTACCATTTAGTCGCTACCGTTTGTTTAAGCAACCTACTGCAGCCAAAGTGTTTGAGGGCCATTTATTTGGCTTCTACCCAAGGAAAGGACATTCTAAGGGGAAATTCCACGTTGTGCATAAGCTAATGTTTGGAATTTAATTTTTAAGAAATCAGATGCAGTTTAAAATAAAAATGAAGAAAATTTTGCGGGGTCATGAATTTGACAAATTCATCTAACACTTTTAAGGAATAGGTATCTAAACACTTTAGAAAACTTCCGTAAATAAATTTTAAAAAACTCTAAAAACTTCTACCTGATATTCTGTATAGCTGTAAAAAGATATTTTAATTTTAATAATGAAGTTTCTTTTAGAAAGATTGCTTCCAATGCGAATATAAGCTTAAAAGAAATATTAGCACTTTAAAAACTCTTCAAATCCTCATTTCAGAATTCTATAAAACGCTTCATCTAACCATGGATGTAAATGAGCCTTTTAATCAATGATTCTAGTGGTCTTAAAATTGGTTGGATTGTCTAGTTTAAATCTAAATACTTTTACAAGCTTCCTTTTTCAATGACTTGAGGCATTATAAATCAGATTCAACCTCATTCTAGATACGGTAGCCTAGCATAATTAATTTTTAATCAAATACGGGTTATTAACCTTATTTTTTAAAATATGAAGCATTAAATTTTAAATTATCTTTTAGTTTGCCGTCTTTGGTTTATTAGGTTACAAATTTAAAAGATTTAATGAGTTCATTAAATTTTTATACGCATACAGAATTCCTATCGTTAATTTCGAAAGGACAAACATAAAGAGTTTATACATTCCTTTTCTAGATTTTAATAAAATTAATTTCGCTAATGGAACTATTTAGAGCAACAAATTTAAAATATCTGATATGTATTTCTCTAAAACACCAACAAATTATTTAAATTTTATTCACAATTGTGACATTTTAATTAATACCTTTCTGCAAATCTTATTATTCTACATTTTGACTAAAAAGGTTGGAAAACCGTAAACTAATCATGAAAAGAATAAATCGAATTTTAAAAAAATTTTGAATTGGTAAGGACAGACAAGCAAGATTTTTAATCTTTCCGTGGCCTATTTTAAGAGTAAATTGACTGAAGTTTATCAGTAGTATGGGTATTTTCGTGATTTTCCCAACATAGATACCAATTATTTCTCCGAGAAGCCATCCTCTCTATTCAGATAAACCTAACGAGCATTAATTTAAGTAATTAATTCATCAACCTAAAACACTGATGAGTAGGCCTTTAATCTCTATTTGATGTTTAAGCTCAGATGAATTCAGAGCTACTGATTGAATACTGTAGCTGAACTGTTTTAGTTCAACCTGGTTTCTAACTCTAAGGAACGGACTAGCGGCATGGCCATTTACCTCCCTGCGCAACATGAATATAAACCAATTTCTCTCAAGACATCCTCCACGAAAACATCCTTTTCTTATACAGATAGCTGCCAAGTGCTTACCGTAATTTAAATAATCCAATTCAATTGTTATTAGCAATTAGAACATTGATTTGTATACTGTAGCTGATCTCCACTAACAGATCTGACAACGGGACAATGGTTGGAATGAATTTTAAAGTAGCATAAATTACATTTCCTCGTACAATGATATGCATAGAGTATTCTCCAAAGTCTACTAAGTTTCTCAGAGGAGAAGACTGAAAAATGAACGATTTCCTCTCTAGTATTAAAACTACGTATTTTCCATTTGCCAATCGGGATGTGCTAGCCATTTATACCAGAGAGCATGCACGGAGTAATACGATAGTCGTTTACATTCTGATCCATTTTAAAGGCGACTGGGAAAAGTCGCAAGACCCAGTGATCAAATCCGAGAGGTGAAGCGTTATCCTCCAATATATGCATTATTAGGGCATTAGTATAGGAAAAGATTAAGTTTTCCAAAGCTCACTGATTAGGTTTTTCACAGTTAGTAATTGGAAGAAATCAGCTATATCATAGCTGGGATTTGAATCACGGACCATCAGCCAGCCACCTCAGCGTCTAATCATTTACCCATCAAGCACAAAGGAATGAGGTAATTTCTTATCAGTCAATAACTAGGTTATCGAAATAAAACTCCTTGGAGTACTTCAGCAACAATGTTTCTGTTTTTTTTTTCCATGATCCGTCCCCTATGTTCAAATTCATATCCTGTGGATGTATAAGGGTCCTCATATCTGCTGCACCTATACTCACGATAACAACTTGCGAATTTCGTTTTCAGAGTCTGCATCATCCATGAAACATGTGTATTTACATTTAGCATTGAAATAAGTGAACAACTGAAATTCTCTTAGGGCTAAGTCAGGGCTTTACGGGGGATACCGAAAACGTTTCCACGAAACATACTAATTGGATGTCTCTGCCATGTGAAGCTCGGCAATGATGGAATGCTGTGACTCAGTAGAGTTAAACATTTTAGACGAATTGATGTTATGTTGCTCGAAGTTGCAACATTACATCGCATTCATATTCATTCCTTGCCGTCCATTCTTTATCTCTGAAAGTAGAAACTCACTCCATCATATTTTTCCTCTAATGAAAAGACCTCTAGAGTGATCCTGAACGATTCAAGTCATAGGACCTCCGACATCGACAATGTTGCTAATGAGTGAATATCAGGTGTGATAGTGTTGCTATTTCTTTTAAAACTATTTATGATTTTTTATTATCAGATCATTTTCGTGCATATCATACAATGCGTAGTAATTCCAAGATTGAAAAATGTAAGGATTAAAAAGCATAAAGTGGGGCCCAAGACTAGTGAAGATTACATTAAATTTTGAAAACATGCAGGATTAGCTTTCACGGTATCTCGGAAATATGTTTTCATCAAATTTTATTTGCAATTTAATACACGCACGTTTAATGCTCTAGTGGTGTTTTATTGCTTCTTTGTTTCAATTTTGAATCTTTTGTGTGATAGTTTACTTGAATAAAGTTTTGTTTCTTCATTAGGTCTCAGTGGTTCTGCGGCGGATCTCACTCGCAGAAGAGAGGTCTTCGGTCCGAATATGATTCCCCCCAAACCTCCCAAAACGTTCCTGCAGTTGGTATGGGAAGCGCTACAAGATGTCACCCTCATCATCCTCCAGGTGGCAGCACTAGTATCCCTCGGCCTTGCCTTTTACGAATCACCAAAAGAGGAGGGAGCGAAAGGTATTTGTATAACGAATATATTCTAAGATTTAGATTAGCAGTAAATGAAAAAACTTAAAGGCATTTTAGAATCAACAAATAATACAAGCTTAAAATATAACTGCAGTATATCTCGATAATTTGAAGTAATATAGGCTAACAGAGCCAGGACAAGGGTGAGGCAAGCGAGGCATTTGCCTCAGGTGAATCACTAGAAGGGCACCAAATTGGCTATACGAATTCGAAAATTACCTTAATTTTATTTATAAATTTGTCAGTTATTATTAGGGAAAATAAGACTCTGTAAATTTAAATTAATAAAACAATAGGAAGAATTGCAAGAAAAATCTGGAAATTAATGCAATGTTTCATTTTTATTTATCAAAAAAAGAATTTTTAGCATTTTCATTTGAAAGTTATAAATAATTGACTATAATATTTTTCTGAATTTATAAAGCTACGATTAAAAAATACTTTAAGAATTATAATATAATTATGCTATAAGAATTATATATATATCCTTATTTAATACATTTACTTTTGTTTAATACAAATATAGCTATATATATTATAATAAAAGTTGTAAAAGCAATACTTAAAAGACCAGTTTCGGTCAAAACTTTTTCCGCATTGTGCTGCAATATATATATATATATATAATATATATATATATATATATATATATTAATAAATAATAATTTATTTCCTAAACAGTATTGATTAATTGAATATATATATATATATATATATATATATGTATATGTATGTATATATATATATTCTCTATTCCTATAAAGCTAATATAAATTTAATTTTAAAATTAACTAAGAAATTTTAATTGCAAAAAAATTTAATTAATTATTGCTGATTTACAATATCATTTAATTCTAAATTTGATATATATATCAAAATAGCTATATTTGTATTAAAACTTTGTAAATGTATTAATTTCGGGATTAATTTTCATACTTTTGGGTTACTTCATTTAGATACATTCTGCTAACTTTATATTAAGAGATAATATAATCAATATTACTTTAATAATTAAATTCTATATATAGGGGGGGGCGCATTTACCATTTTACCTCAGGTGAAAAAATAGCTTGGCACGGCTCTGCAGGGTAATGATACTTAAATAGAATGGAATGCCGCAATTAGTTCTAAACAGCTGTTCATGAGAAGACTTGTTAATTTACATGTTGCAAGATCGCTGTTAAATTACTCAGCCTTGGTTATTTGAATGTCTGAGCTAAGAAAGAAAAATATACATTCAACTTTATTCTGATATATTTCTATTGTAGGAGATATAATACCTACAATAATATGAGAATAAAAAAGTTATAGAGAATATAAAGGTGGTTATCTGCTAGGAAATTCGAAGTGAAATTTAGAATGCAAATGTGCACGACTGCGATAAATTTGGCAATGTGGAAAGCGATTTACACCTAAAAATTCGCGATTTGTGAAGCAATTTACAGTTAAGTTTTTAAGAAAAACTCAAAAACAAAACTGCTTCGAAAATAATTTTGAAAAATCGTAATTAAAGTAAAAATATATATTGTTGTAGATACACTTTATTGAGGAGAGTATATCTCACGTTGAAGTACGGCGTGGCAAAACTTACAAAACGACAAAAAAATTTTAAAAAGCAAATAATGTTTTAAAATCTATATTTTAACTTTCAAACATTTCTTAGAAACCTCCTTATATGTGCAAGCTGACGACGCGGCCAACTTTGGATCTCACATCCATTCGGTCTGGGAAGCTGCGTATGCCGGACGAAAGGTTAAAAAAAAATTCTCTGAAACCACTTAATTAGTATTTTTAACATTTCTGTTTTAAAAGAGGGCAAAAAGCTTGTTATATCACCCATGAAAATTTTGGAAGTGTATATCGGATGTTGGAATTTGAAAATCCAAAATATGAATACATTACAATAAATAGTTAATCTTCGAATTATGGTAACTTGGCGATTTTTTGCCGAAAATTTGGCGACCAACCCTGCTACAACAACCTGCTAGTTTTTTTTTTTTTTTTTTTTTTTTTTTTTTTTTTTTTATGCCATTTTGTTTTTACGAAGTGAAGGCATATTTTTGTTGTTGTTGTTGTTGTTGTTTTTTTTTACTCAACATTTTTTTTAAACAATCTGCTAGCCGAATTACGCTTATGCTAGAACTTTTATGGAACAAAAGTGCTTAATCATGACGAAGATTAGGTGCGAAATTGCGAGAAAGTGCAGAATCGCCCACTGCTTGCCGCGTTTTTAAGAATTGCACATACACGGTATCATTCATTTACACGTCGACCTATTTTCACTTAAAAAAAAGTCCTAGAATTCCAAAAAAATGGCATTGCGCACACTCTTGACTTTATCCACGTACACTGCTAAAGTCCTAGCTAGTAACCTTTATCGCCTTACCAAAATTTCACCAAACTACCTGTTACCATATTCCAAAGATTAGCCCAATAAATTTAAGAAAATCAACTTTTAATCAGAAAATCTTACAGAAAAATGTGAATATTTTTAATGTAAAAATCACAAATGAAATAGTATGTATAATTGTAAAGATTGGGTTTTAACGAAAGCTTCCCGCCACGCAAATATCGTGCGCGCAAACACTTCGCGTTGGCGTGTTTAATCATATTTTGTCAAACGCTTTTCGGCATTTAAAGGAAAGAGACTTGCTTTAGAACACTGTGTTGTTAAATATGCAAAAGAATATCGTTATTATTACGTGCAAGTTGTCTGAAATGGAACTATCATGCTACCACGTTAGAACCATCACATACTTCTAATGTTCTGTTGCAAAAGTTCAGCTACAGAATGTCACCAAATCGTGTATACAACTTTAGGTACTAATGTTGTATCATATGACACTATAAGGTTTTCTACTGAAAGTTCAACAACAAGGACTATGACATTCAAGAAGCAGAGCGCTCAGGCCGGCATACTGATTTTCATGATGCCCGCCTGCGCGAACTTGAGGAAAAAGATCAGTACATACAACTTCAGTCGCTGGGTGCCGCATGAGCTAACTCAAGCAGTTAAGGACAGACGCGTTCGAACTTGCACTAATCTGCTCAAATATCAACACAAGAACAAAATTCTGGACAGAATAGTCACTTGTGATGAAACGTGGGTTTACTTCAACAACACAGGCCGAAAAGGAGGTTGGTCTGCTCTCGGTGAGCTCTTCGGCAGCGAGCGACTTGACTAACAAAAACATCCTGCTTTGTATCTGGTAGGATTGCCGTGGTATTATCCGCAAAGAGTACCACATGTGTCTGCATTCACCGGCTGGACACTGTTCGGGCTTGAATGGGATCTTATGCCACACCCACCATACAGCAAAGACATCGGGCCCTTCGGGCCCTTCGGGCTTTTACATTTTTTCACACCTGCAGCTACATCCTGCTGATGCTAACTTTCCTTTCTGTACAGGAGGTCCGAAATGATGTTGATCTGTTTTTGGACTCGCGGCCACTAAGTTTCTGTGCTGAAAGCTTTGAAAAACTACCAAAAAGTTATCAGAAAATTATACATTTCGATGGTGATTACTGCCTGCACTAAAAATACTGCTTTCATGTTTTTTTTTTCCTTAACTTTATTAAGAAAGATTTTTGGCAGAAAATTTTCATTACAATCAGATATTTTTAAGTGCTAGTCAAGTCTTTATCTCTGCTATTATATACCCTAAATCGACAAGAAAAATTGAGAGTAATAAGATGAGTACTAAATCCAAAACTTGTCTTTACAAATTAAAAAATGAAACAACATTTATTGAATAACAGAAACTTTTATTGCAAGTATAATACAGTACAGTCCGGCAAACTCGACATAATGTGGCCTGTCGAGTTTCCGAAAAGACGAGTTTTACGGAATAAGGAGTGGATTTTTTTCAGAACTCTTAATATTTAACTGTAAATAACTCTAGACATTTGTAGCACAATATTAGACATGGAAAATTACAACATACAATTAAATTAATGTTGTTGTTTTTTATGTCAAGTTCTAGCACAATAGGAGTCATAAAAAGAACAAATACCTTAAGATAATTGAGTAAAAAAACTTACATAAAGAAATAAAGGAACATTATTAGTAGTTCTTGGTAGAAAAATATCGTGTGATAATAGATTGTATCTCACAGTCATACCATCGTCGTGCAGCTTCATCCTGTAGGCAACGGAGGAACAGATTGTCCATAGCAGATGCCATACTAGATTCCATACCAAATTCCATACACAGCAAAATTTCCATAAAAAAATTACAGAAAAAGACCACTCAAATCTTTAAGCAGAACAGGAAAGGTGGTAATAATTCTCATCACATCTAAATCAAGAGTAGCAAATCAACACATCATGGGCTAGAACAGGAAAGGTATAGGCATAAATAATAAATATATGTGCTATATGCAATAGTTGATCTTTTTGCCTAGAGATATCGTAAAAGGTTCCTAAAAAACTGTCGAACTATATGGAATGTCGAGTTATCAGGAGTCGAGTTTGCGGGACTCAATTGTAATACCTTTACGGTATTAGTAATTTCTTTGAAAATAAACCTTTCTAGCAGGGAAAAAAGGCTATATTTATAATCCTAAAATGTTATATAATTACACACTATGAAAGTAATAAAAGTAATACTTTCATATTGTTGTATACGTACGGGTTCGTAATAGGTTGAATGCCCATAGAACCTGTGATAGTGTGATAAAATTTGTTTTTACCCAAATAAACACTTTAAAGTTCTGGAACTTCCACAAAAGCATTCGTATAGCTCTCCTCAGTATCGCAAAGCACAATCAGTAGTTACACTTCAGACTAGTAAGAACGTTAAACACAACAACAATACAAAGACCATCTAAAGAGCGAAGCTCCCACGGAGATATCTCAGTACGCCGATGTTGACTCTGAGCAGTAAAACTGAGAGCTGATAGTCTCGCCGGTCTTAGATAGTTTTCCTCCGGCCGTCGAGAAATCTCTGATACCTTCCATAAGGTATATAGGGTTCAAGTTACAAGAGC